ACATCACATCACATCACATCACATCACATCACATCAGCACATCACTATCACTGATCATCACCTAACATCACATCACTAACATCAGCACATCACTGATAATCATCTAATATCACATCACACACATCATCACATCTCTATCACTGATCATAATTAAACCATCACATCACACACATCATCTCTATCACTGATCATCATTAAACCATCACATCACACACATCAGCACATCACAATCACTGTTCATCATTAAACCATCACATCACACACACATCATCACATCACTGATCATCACTAAACCATCATCACATCACACAAATCATCACATCACTATCACAGATCATCATTAAACATCACACACACCATCACACCACTATCACCGATCATCATTAAACCATCACATCACTGTCACCTATCATCATTAAACCATCATCACACATCAGCACATCACTATCACTGATGATCATTCAATAATTTTGAAATTACATGAGCAAACACTCATCACTCACAGTGAAGCCCAGCATCTTGTAGTCTTTAGTGTAGATGGCTTTCCTCTTTTCTGTTCCGCTGGGATCACTGTCTCCGTCAAACACGATTCTTCTGAGTTCAAAGATGATATCTCTTTGTGTCTAAATATAAGAGAGGTCAGAATATAACAAGAATATAATTTTAGGACATAATTCAAGCTGTCTAAATAAGCTACAAGAACACAACTTTCCCAAGTATCTTGGTAAATGTTGAAGACAATTCAGCAATGTTGTGCATTTTATGCCATGAGTATGCTGGTCAAACAGTGGCTATGAATATACCTGAAAGTTCAAGTAAAGGACATTCTACACTCAGTCAGTTAGTCAAGTTCCATCATTACCAATGTTCAACAGTTTACGGTTTTCCAAAATTGTAGTTCTAAAAAATATTCACAAATAGCATAATAAAGTTGGAAACAGCAGCTTTCTACATGTGGTTAGAAGCATAGTTTCTTTTTAGTATTACATGTAGATCTACAACTTGCTCTCACATTTATTCCCATATTACGGAAATCTGCACATGACATGCAGAAAAAAAATCATGTTTAATCATTTGTTGTAATTAAAACATGAGCATGTCCTTTTTAATTCATAGCCACAATCTAACTAAAACATTCATGTTTTCATTAATTATAAATAAATTAAATGTGTTAATAACTTCTTCCTGCATGTCATGCACAGGGCTCTGTATATTACACATTTTCAAGGTTTACATAAAGTCTGGGGACAGTTATACTTCCAAATTATTTTGCATATAAAGATCAGTGTTTGATTTCCCTTGACAATGTGAAGCTTAACACTGACAGAGAACAATTTGGATCTTTAACCAGTCTTTGTTTTTTTGTGGCCGGCTGCAATTACTCTGCACAAAATAAAATAAAAAAAAGAGAAAGAAATGAAAAAAAAACTGCCTATTGATGTTTCACTCTGCAAATAGTTAACACTTCTGCTCTGCATAAATGAAATTGTCAACCCAATGTATACATTTATTCACTTGAACCATACATCCTGTTCCCTCCATTAATCTTAATGTCAAGTCAATCATTTTCAGACATTTGTCAATCACTTGCCTGGTCATTCAGGTCCATTTTTGTCATCATGCGTTCTTCCAGAAGGTTGAAGGTCAAAACCTGCAGCACGTACAGCTGATGTGCCATTTCAGCTTTGACTGGTCGATTCCCCCGGATGATGTGCTAGAAGACAAGTTTAAAATGAAAGACCGTCAATGCTTTCACTCAAAGGGGTGTTTCCTATAACAACACTCATTATCACACTGCTCCTGAAGAACTATAAACTGATGTTTCTACACACACATCTGCTGGGAGGAAGTTCTATGAAGACAGATCTGATCTGTATTCCATCAAAAGATGCTCAATAACGATGGATCTTAGCTCTTAAGAGTGCTCTCTACGTGCTAGGTTACAAACGTTCGCCGCAATTCCACGTGCGTTTCCCAAAAATGCACTTAACATGAACATGTGAGAACACATTCTACGTGCTACTTCAGAGTCGCTGTCCGTTTGTCAAGTGCTGAAATATTACCTTACAGAATTGTATCCTTGAACCTAATAGTCGTCACCTTATGTGGATAAAAAAAATACCTTTCAAAAAGATTAAATTAATGTTCTTCTGGAGGAGGTAGAGCGAAACAAAGATGTCATTTTCAGCAGATTTAAAAGACACCATACAAATAAGAAAAAACAACATATGGGAGGACTTTGCTACAAAATTAACTGCACAGGGGTGCTAAGAGATCAGGGAAGGAGGTCTGTAAGAAGTGGCAGGACTTTGCAAGCTTGGCAAAAAGGAAGGGCACTGCATGGATGGCAATAAATAAAAAAATACAGGTAGTTGGACCAATGACTCCCCCCTTCTCACAGCAGAGGAAGAAAAGACCTTTGTGGTGTTATTGCCCTCCATGGAGGAGTAGGGATTCCTCAACCTGAGCCTGAGTCAGGTCCTTCATGCTCAGAGGAACTATCAGTTTCACCTGCCATCTTCCAGCACCAACCATCTCCTAGTCCTCCAAACAACCCTCTCAGGCCTCAGCCTCCATCTTCAGTTGTCCAGACCGCAGCCACAACACCTCAGCAATTTGAGAATGTCTGTGGTTTTAGTCAGGACTTAGTGCAGCTGGAGAGATGTTTGAACGACATTAGACAATGTCTCAAAGAGGCTAATAAGAGGAATGACAATTTTCAACAGCAGCTTATTGACCTCAAGAAGGCCAAGCTGGCTTTAGGGCAGAGGAGACTTGCACTGAAGGAGATGAGGTTTGCACGGCCAACCTTGCCAGAACAGTCAGGTAATATGATTGTTTTATGGTGATTAAATTAAGTTTCTATAATTTCTTGTGCAATGTGAAATGTTTTCTATATGTAGTTATTTCTCATCCCATTGTGAAATGCTTTTTCAGGTCCTGGGTAACTCAGTCAATAACTCAAATCAATAAAACTATGTTGATCCAATGTTTTTCATGGCCATGTGTTTGTTGAACCACCCAAGGCCTAAGGCCCTATAAAATACTATAAGAATTCTTATGCGTTCTTTCAGGTGTTTCTGAAGTGAATGACCAATGGTTGGTTATTTTCAAACATAAACATGTAATTTTAGATATTATTAAAATATAAAGTTTATATATTAAAGGTGACAGTAGCACAAATATATGTACTTCATCTAGCCAATACATTTCTATAGGTACAGACAAAAAGGTTTATTGCAGACATGTATTATCAGCACTATTCTATGCATACATATTTATGATATCATGTGCGTTTTTATTTGTTAATTTTTTCCCTTTTCTTTTAAATTATTTCATTTATAAATTAATACAAAAAAATTATATTAATAAAGTAATAAAGAGAAGTACAATCAAAACCTTATATCATAATCGCATTGCACTTGAATAAACTTAAAGGTGTAATCTGCCGGTTGTCCTGCAGGTGACCGCATAACTCTGTCTTCTTATGATGCACTGAGGGCTTTACGATTACTCCAGAGCGCTGGTAGATCTACGATGATTTTCAAGTGCTACTTAAAGGAGACATATTATGCCCCTTTTTACAATATATAATATAAGTCTCTGGTGTCCCCAGAATGTGTCTGTGAAGTTTCAGCTCAAAATACTCCACAGATCATTTATTATATCATTTTGAAAATGCCTATTTTGAGTGGAAGCAGAAACACTGTTTTTCGGGCCTGTCTCTTTAAATGCAAATGAGCTGCTGCTCCCCGCCCCCTTTTCCAGAATAGAGCTGCGCCATTACAGCTCGGACCTGCTAAAAACATCTGTTTTGGTTCTGATTATCACGTTTATCGCGCTGAAATCATGCGTTTTAAACCATATGAGTTTAAACTTCTGATATACGGTTTTCTAAGCGCACACATCCGAAGCACACGCACAGAAAGCGGCTGTCACAGCATGTGAGTACTAAACTAAGTTCTCATTCACACACAAGTTTACGTTAAAAACACACGAGTTACAAAAACAGTGGGTTATGTCTGTGAAGGTAAACTGCTGGGAAAATCGCGGGTTTATTTTAGATCTGCGTGGCAGCAGCAATATACAGTAAAAAAATAAATAAATGCACTGCTCTGTTGTCTCCTCTGAGGCTGGGACTCTAAACAGTGTTCTGTGCTCGTCTGTGCAGCCAAAGACAGAACAGTTCACATGTTTTGCTCAAACTTTCTCCATGGCATTAGAGCTGGTACGCCGTTGTCACTTGCGAAAACACAATGACAGTGCTGTGGGTGTATTATATTTACAGATTAAGGGGCGGTAATATTATAATGAGATCCCTTTGCCACGTCACCAAGGGAGCAAAATCAGACACGCTCGTTTTCTCAGATGCTTGCAGAAAAAGGCTTCCCAAAACAAAGTTACTGGGTTAATCTTTTTCACGTTTCCTTGGTTGGTAGATGCACCGTGGACCTGATTATAGCGCTTAAAACCTTGAAAAGTCAGATTTTCATGATATGTCACCTTTAAGTTATGATGCTTTTGAGAAATGCAGCCCAGTTTAGTAAATCTGGCCCAGTAGACATCTGTCATTACCTAGTCAACTCAGGTTTCACTTTTCCCCCTCACTTTATTTCTACATTTTCAAGTATTTCAAAATTTCCAAAATACAGTTTAAATAATATTTTAACATGACAATATATAAAACAGATCAGAATAAAAATAATAATTAGTTGCCAACTTGTATGACAAAATTAAACAACTGAATCAGACATAAATATCAATATAAGTGTGGTCATCCACTGGGGGAAAATTAAATCAAATCATTATTTTCAATTAAACAGGGGGGTATACATTCCATATACTCAAGAAAAGAGCTCCACATTTTATAGGAGTTCTTGGAAGAGTCCCTCAGTGAATGCCTATTTTTTTCCAGTTTGATAAAGTGAAAAATCTCTTTAATCCACATCGAGTGGGTAGGAGACATTAAAATGATTTTCAATGCATTAGAATCAAAGGTCTAGCCAGGAGGGATACAAAGGCCACAAAGTCTACCTCGTAACCAAGGTGATGAACTGGTAAGGGAAGTGTACCGGAGAGTGCTGTTATCGCTACGGGTTTGATGGTTGTTCCAACTACCTGAGATATTGTCTCAAATATTTGAACCCAATAACCATTTAAACTTAGGCAGGACCAGAGCACGTGTGCCAGGGTTGCGGGACCCTGATACGATCAACATCAGAGTACATTTTAGTGAGTAAGACCTTAGTACAGTGAATGCAATGGAGTATTTTGCATTGGATCCAACCATGATTGGCACACAAAGATGAAGAATGTATAAGATACTTTCCCATAATTCATCTGGAATATCTTCTGATAGGTCTTCTTCCCACTGAGGTTTTATAGATGTCAATGAACTTCTATGTAGGGAACATATTTTCTCATAAATATATTAAATCATCCCTTTCCCAATAGATATCGGTTCAAAGAATGAGACCAAGGGAGTTGTAGTGGGGAGAATAGGAACTTGAGGATGCATATCACGGATAAAACTGTGAACCTGCAAATACCGGAAAAAGTTGTTTCTGGGCATCGAAAGCTTATCTGAGAGTTGTTGAAAGGATGCAAAAACATCATCTATATACATTTTTAAACACTGATATGCCGTATGTTGCCCATTGGGAAAAGGTCCTGTCCATCATTGATGGTGAGAAAACAAAATTTGATGCTATGGGGGCAGCCATAGAAAAAAGCTTGTAATCCAAAATGGCGCCTACACTGTCTCCAGACTTGCAGTGAATTGGTAAAGAGAGGTAAAGAGAGAATATGAACTGTTAATAGGGGAATGTAGCAGGGCTGTTAATGTAGTGGGCAGACACGAGGCTACTTCCATGGCAAGCCACATGGGTAAACACTGAGACTGAGTTGGTTTAGTCAATATTGAAAGTTAGTAGCCTAGTAGTAATATTGAAAGTTGGGCAACGTCATCCCTCCAAGAGACTTGGGTCATTGAAGAAGCGTTTTACGAATTCTAGCAGTCTTTTTATTCCAAATAAACTCTGAAACGAATCCATTGAGTCTCTAAAAAAAGGACTGAGGGAGAAAAACGGGGATACATTGAAACAATGAAGAGAATTTTGGGAGGGTATTCATTTTTACAATATTAATTCTGCCAGCTAAGGATAACAGAAGCACCGACCATCTTTCAAAGTCTTTCTGAACTTGGAGCAGTAGATTATCAAAGTTAAACTTAAAAAGATCTTGAAATCTATTGGTTATCAAAACCCCAATGTATTTAAATCTACCCTGTACAATTTTAAATGGCAAAGTATGTAAGGGGTAATTTTTGGCAACTGAGATTAGTGGGGAAAAAAAAATCACTTTTGGCTAGATTTAGTTTATAGCCCGAAATAGAGCCAAATGATTGTAAAGTATTAGGAACCGCAGGAACTGACAGTAAAATCTGAAATATACAGAAGACCATCTGCGTACAGTGAGACCTCCTGCTCTATATCTATTCTTGTTATTCCATTTATTAAGGGGTAACCTTTAAAGCAGTGGAAAGAGGTTCGATGGCAATAGCAAACAGAAGTGGGCTCAAGGGGCATCCATGACGAGTGGATCTGTGGAGGTTAAAGTATTCAGAGTGAGTATTATTAGTTCTAACTGAGGCCTGGGGAGCGGAGTACAACAGTTGTACTCATGAAATGAATCTTTCACCAAGACCGAATTTCTTTAAAGTATAAAAAAGTTATCCCCATGCTACCCGATCAAATGCTTTCTCAGCATCTAGTGATATTACAGCTTCCGGGGTAGAAGGGGAAGAAGAATTAAACACAATGTTACATAATCGTCTGATATTAAAAAAAGAATGTCTACTCTTAATAAAACCGGTCTGATCTGAAGATATAATCGCAGGTAATATAGATTCCAGTCGCACTGATAACAGTTTTGATAACAACTTAAAGTCGACATTAAGTAAACCAACAGGCCGATACGAGGAGCATTCCAGAGGGTCTTTATTCTTTTTTAGGATCAGGGACATTGAGCCTTGATTAAGAGTTTGAGGACGTTTTACTAACTTAAATAGTAACTTAGAATATCAAACTCTGCCTGTAATGACTGGCGTTCCTTATAAATATCTGAAGATGGGGTGACCACATATATATTATCTAATTGAGTTATTCTGTGTTATCTCAGAACACCTCTTTTTGTTTAACTTTGTCTTATGACATATGAAATGATTTATCTCCTGAGGAATATCATCAAAGCCTCTCAAAAAAGAGATGCAGATATCTCTGGACTTCTATTTGTGAATATGAAAGTCTATTTTATTAGAAACAAATTCCACAAAGCTCTGGTCTAATAACATACAAGTATTCAGCCGCCACAATAGTTGTGTACCATCGAGCCCATCAAAGTAAATATTCATGGTTACTGGTGCATGATCTGATTTTACAATAGCATTATTACTGACTGAATAAATCTATTATTAGAAAATAATCAATGTGTGTGAATGTTTGGTGAACATGCGAAAAGAAAAAGAATGCTTTACCATGTGGATTAAAAAAACACCATAAAAGATTGGACTGCACAAGCAGATTTTGAGGGTGAATTATATTTGAGAGAAGAACGATAAAGATCTGGGTTAAGCCAACAATTGAAAACCCCTCCCAAAATAAGAAAATATGAAGATATATCCGATAATGAGGAAAATAAGTATCTAAAGAATTTGTCATCGTCCCAATTAGGGGCATAAATATTAACCAAGAGAAGTGCAGTATTACCAATTCTCCCTGAGACGATGACATACCTGCCATTTGGTTTAACATCTGAACATACAAAATGCACAGATTTGTGTTTAATTATTGCTGTCCCTCTAGCCTTACCCTGAAACATGGAATGGTAAACTTGACCAACCAATCTTCTTTTTAATAATAGCTGGTCTTTGGCTTTAAGATGAGTCTCCTGGAGGTAAACAATATGTGACCCTAAGTGGTGAAGATGGTGTAACACCTTGCTCTGTTTCACTGGCGCGTTTACCACCTTAAAGTTCCAACTAACAAATCTAAGGTTACTACCCTCTGGCCTATATACCACCTTAGGTTGTGCCATATTTACAATGTACAGAAAGAATAATGATAGAATAAAATATGATAAAATAACAATGTTGGTAAAAGCATCTGACACAAAAGGAAACACACTGGCTCACCTACAGAAAAAAAAAACAACTCCCCAAAACACGACACATGCATGACCCTTCCTTAACATTAACTTTCTAACTGAACACAATGAGGCAACACAAGCTTTAACTCTAACTCGCAACATGTTGTCTCAGAGAAGGCAACAGTATCTGAAATATAACAGGAAACAGTACATATAACAGCACTTTTGAAATTGTGTCAAGCCCAGACCATCATCAACATAAAATGCTTCACTGGAATGACAATAGAAGGACCATTAATAATAAAATAAAAAAAAGTTTAACCTAAGAATACACTTCACAGTTTTTGTAAATTACCAATAAGAGAAGGTCAATATTACAAATCGGCATAATGATATCCAGTAAAGGTACTCAAGTCAGACCTAGCCCAGTCGATGAACTATGCATCATTACCTAGTTTTGCGAATGAAGTCCAGTGCCGCAGTCAGTTCCACAAAAGTGTGTGAAACTCCATCAGCTGTAGTGTAGTGAACACCGCGGGGAAGAGTACGCCATACCTGAGTCCAGGACACGAGTGGAAAACATGTTTGACATCTCTGGATGCAGACCGTTTCTTAGCCACCGCTGTAGTGTTGTCAGCAAAAATAGACAATCTCTTTCTGTTGTAATTGAGAGTAGAGAGTCCCGCAGCCCTTTGAAGAATCTCAGTACAAACTAATGCACTCTAATGACGAGACGGCGAGGAGGCTGCCCTTTCTTTGGTTTCTCACGCAGTGTATGGTGCGCACGATCCAGCAGGGGCTTATCCTGAAGCCGCAACACCTCCAGCAGAAGTTGGGCAACATATTCAGATGGACGGGAACCTTCAGGAAGACCCACCAGACGAACATTGTTTCTCCTAGAACGACCCTCCAAATCTTCGCAGTTAGCATCCAGATGAGTTAAGCAATCATTGAGAGACGAAATCAAATTCTCCAGTTCTGCTACTGTGTGATCAGAAGAGCGCTCCAGTTCTTTGATGGTACTAGTGTTGGATTCGACCATCTGTTGTAGAGGTTCCAACCAGCCTTTAACATCTGACCGCCCTGTGACAATCTCCGAGCACAAGTCAGTAGATAATGAGTCTATTTTCTGACAAATCTGAGTCCAGCATCGTCTGAAGACAACTGATATTCCCGAATGAGTTATCCGAGGCGCACTCATTCGTCGAGGACCCATTAGTGTCACCTAAAGAGACCACCTTTATTGCAGCCTCCCTTAGTCGCGAGACATCACCATGTTTACCACTTATGATTAATTCAAGTGTAGTCTTAGGGAGTCTTAGGGGTTCGGTTCTTGCTCAAGGCTCTCAAGGTGGAAGATAGCACTGGTCATTCACTCCCCCCCACCTACAATTCCTGCCGGACCAGAGACTTGAACCCACGACCTTTGGGTTACAAGTCCGACTCTCTAACCATTAGGTCATAACTGCCCCTGAATATAGAGAGATTCCTGCTGTTTGCGCATAATAACCATTCCCCTACACGGTTTCTTTATTTGTTTTAAACAGCAGAATGAATATTTATCTATTTCTGGTCATAATTTGTAGACAATGAGCATATAAACCGCTGCGCCTTGCTGCTTATATAGCAACAGTAACCAAAGGGGGGCGTGTCTTTGCCAAGGGTCCATTACTTTTACAAAAAAATTACAACAATTACAAAAAATAAAACCTTCAAACGTGTGCTAGGTCAACCTTTAACTTTTGACACTGGTGTAAGGCAAAAGAACCATCATCACATGATGGTGATATATATATTGTGTTCAATAGAGACTTTGTTATGATTTGTCCATTTTTGGTGGTGTGTGATCTCCATAATGACAATAAATAGATAAACTAATAAACAATCATATTTCTTGACAAGGTTAGCAGGTTAGCAGAAGATGAGAAAATTCTTCATTAAACCTTTCAGCCAGCGGTTTTCTGGATTTGTCACAGGTGAAATCACTGTGTGCTTTGAATCTGCAGTTCCTCATTAGCTGAAACATTTAGTAACTCTGTCTGAATGTGTTGAGCAACTAATAGCAGAATATGAGTAACAAAGGGAATCTGATAGCATTATGTATGGATTTACACTTACGTTGAGTATGATGCCGCGGAGGTGTTTCTGAGCCAGTGTACTCGCCATCTCCTGCCATAAACACACACAGAGTCAGACACAGATCACAAACATCAGCGTGCCTGTGAACGTCTGAGCCAGACTATCACCACAAACACACAACACAGACACAAACACAGCCGACAACTGGGTGAGAATGTTTTGAGAGCAAATTGGTTAAGGAAATAAATCAATGATTCATTGAAGAAAATGAAGAAAGTCACAGGTTTTGTTCCTGAATGAACCTCAACTTTTGAACATGGACTGTTATATCAGGACTAATAAACTGCTGCTTGACCAATCAGATCTGAGGACTGGATATAATTGTTGTATACAAATGAATAAGTAATTATACTTTGTATTTGCTGTTTCTTTGTGTGACAGTTTCCTACACTTTTGTGTCGTTCCTGATGTATATGTGATTGGACCTTGCAAGCACCAGTGAGTTGGTTTGTGTGTGTGTGTGTGCATGTGTGTGTGTGTGTGTGTGTGTGTGTCTGTATTTCACAATTGCATGCAATGGTCAGTAAACAAATACATGTAAAGAAACAGAATCATTAAGGCTCGGCCAGTTCACAAGGCAAAAGAAAAAACACTTACCAGTTATGAAAGGTGCCTCGGTCACATACATTTTTTTTTGTTTGGGTTTTTGAATGGTTGTATACGACAAGACGATAATTCTTCCATTGTGCAAATTATGATCATTTTCATCAGTTGAGGCTCGTTAGCATTTGGCCTGCTTTAAATCAGACACAGAGATGCAGTGCGGTAAGATCACATTCATTTGAATTAATTAATTATATCATTTATTTGAATTAGCGAGAGAGAGAAAGAGAGAGAGAGAGAGAGAGTATGTTCTGCAACATCTAGACAGACCAGGGACTTATGTGAGGATCCTCTTCGTGGACTTCAGCTCGGCCTTTAACACCATCATCCCAAACCTCCTCCTGCCCAAACTAACTCGGCTCTCCGTGCCCACCTCCATCTATCAGTGGATCAACAGCTTCCTGACAGACAGGCAGCTGCTAGTGAGGCTGGGAAAATACACATCCAGCACCCGTACGATCAGCACACGAGTCTGCTTACAGTCAGGAGGTTAAAGAGCTGGCTGTCTGGTGCAGTCTCAACAACCTGGAGCTCAACACGCTCAAAACTGTGGAGATGACCGTGGACTTTGTAGAAGATTTTAATTCATCAAAATATAAATTAGTCAAGTATAATCAATGTGAATATAGCCATTTATGTATTAAGTTATCCTACTATTATAATCATGTGTATTTGTCTGCATGTATAGAAAACTGTATGAGAATGGAATGTGCAGACATATGGTGAAGTACATGATAAGCACATGATGGCACATAATAGGTCCCTTATTTTCACAGAACATAAAATTAAGGCCTCATGACTGCATCGTGATGATCCCATAACAAATATGAATGAAACCATTAAACACACCTAGAGAACAAACAGTATATAAGAGAGTACAGAAAAAGAGTCTGGAGATTGCTCTACAGAGTTTTTCTCGGCTTTGTTTAATCTGAAAAATAAAGTCTATCTTCTGGCATCAAAACGTCATGACTTGAATGATTCCTTACAGCATCGGCAGAAGCCACCACATTTTGGCGCCGAACAGGGACTGGAAAGGAGCAGAGGGTGGAGGGCCACTTTGGGCTGGCTTGACGAACAACATTTTTAGTGGCCACTAAATAATAAAGGTAGGCAGTTTTTTGCTTATATAATTACTGTTGTTTCTAGAGTCGGCCAGTGGTGGTATGGACACTCGAAAATGCTCCTCCAAATTTAAAGAACAAAAAGAGAGAGAGAGAGAAAAAGGGTTTTGATTCCAGAAGAAATAATAGCATGCACTGATCTGTTTTACTATAATAGTGAATGAGGGCAGATTGTGCATGCAAAAATCTGTATTTACTGCCAAGAGAGCCTTTGACGGATGACAGTAGACATTAAGCAGATATACATTGCATGCAATGGTCTGTGTTTATTGATGAGTGGGCCTTGATGGACATCAATGGTGTGATGATCCCTTAACAAATATGAATTGACTGAATACACGCCTAGAGAACGAACAGTATATAAGAGAGTACAGAAAAAGAGTCTGGAGATTGCTCTACAGAGTTTTTCTCGGCTTTGTTTGCGCTGGAGAAGAGTGAATGAGTGTATGAGCCCTATCTAAATGTAGTATGATGTAGTTAATAATTAAATATAATGAATAAAATAAATAATAATTAAGTTAAATAATTAAAATAAGATATACATTTATTATTTAAAGACTTGTCTAAACAGATGAATAAAAAGATTGCACGTGCTTAAAACTTTATATTTAATAACTGAAGACTTCTAAAATTTGTATCTTGTTATCCCTGGGACACAGTATGAAAGTTAATCCACTACAGAGTTTCAGAGATTTGGGCTTGACTAAAAAGATACTTGTGTAGTGCAATGTTGAATCAGAGCAAGATTGGGTGAACAAATTCATAGAAATTTTGATTCAAAAGCTATTTAACAATAATAATGGAACTTGTTGATTAAATATTTAAATAAAAGGAATTTTGTTATGTTGGTTGGGAAAAATTAATTCACCAAAGCACGCAAAGTCCTATGGCTAGGCAAAAAATCCTGCAGAGTGCTGTTTTTTTTTACTGTGTTGAGGAAGTGTATCAGTAAAAGTACAAGTAACTGACAGGTTACTCAGGAAGAGTAGTATAGTCTGTGTAAATGCATGTGTCTGTGTCTGTCTGAGTGTATTTGTGACCTGTGGTTGTATGAGAAAATAAACTCTATATCTGGTGGAGCAAAAGGTGTGCCCCTCCTGGACACAGCTGGAGTTGTGCTGGAGAAGAGTGAATGAGTCTGTGAGCCCTAAACAATAAAGAGACTTGTATGAATGTTGTTTTAGAAAAAAAGTATGCCAAGATATGGACTTTGCAGATTATTGAAATAATAACAGATTAATTGAAATGAGATATACATAGACAGCTGCAGAGAGAAGAAGAGGGAGGGGTTGCTGGACGCTCACCTCCCCTTCTGAAAGAGGAGTGCACACTTCAACAAGGAGAAAGACTGACTTAATGCAGGAAAAGGTGAATCTTTCACTTGAGACTTTTCCTGAGGGTGAAGAGAACATCCTGAAATGAAAAACTCTGGCAGGAGCAATCAAAAGCCAGACTGAGGAAAGGCAGAGAAACAACGGAGACCATACACCACAACATCAGGCCTTTGAGTGCCATCACAGACTGACGACCCAGTGCAACAGCCAAACAGCTTCAACAGACTGATGATCTAACCAGAAGGAATTCCATCCCTTCCCATTGCGTGCACAGGTGCTGCATATTTAATGATCACTATATTTGAGACTGCTTCAAATTTTGTTAATTATTTTATTAACTGTATTAATCTTGATTATTCACTGGTCTCACAGCACTTATTTGAATTCTGTGTTTTAACTAACATTCTCAATCTGCTTTTCAATAGGTACCAGTCCAGCCTTATGTCTTAAAGAAAAAGCAATTATGACAGACAGAAGTGAGTGTTTGACTCACCAATCAGATAACAATGGAGCTGGATTTGACATAGTGAAGGCTATTTTCATTAACCAACTAGGGGGAAATGCACAACTGAATTATTGACACAGACTGACGACCCAGTGCAACAGCACAGGCTGATGATCTAACCAGAAGGACTTTCATCCCTTCCCTTTGCGTGCACAAGTGCTGCATATTTAATGATCACTATAGAGACTGCTTCAAATTTTGTTAATTATTTTATTAACTATATTAATCTTGATTATTCACTGGTCTCACAGCAGTTCTTTGAATTCTGTGTTTTAACTAACATTCTCAATCTGCTTTTCAATAGGTACCAGTCCAGCCTTATGTCTTAAAGAAAAAGCAATTATGACAGACAGAAGTGAGTGTTTGACTCACCAATCAGATAACAATGGAGCTGGATTTGACATAGTGAAGGCTATTTTCATTAACCAACTAGGGGGAAATGCACAACTGAATTATTGAATTAAAAAAAAATATAAGATCCAAAATCATGAAATCACATATGCTGTCATCACTGGGGATAACAAGATGGAAATGTTGATGGCCATGGATCCTAGATTATGCAGAGATCTCCAATCCTCTTCTCAAAGTAGCTCATGAGCAATAACAAAAATGTATTTGACTAAAACTTAAATTAGACAAACAAGTGACATTTGAGAAATTATAATTGGCTCTCTCAAGTGTACAATGCCTAGACCTATTATTCTAAACCAATTAATCTATTAGATTTTGATGGAAAAAAAAGAAAGAAAGAAAAAGAGGTTTACACAGCGGTGTTAAACTAAACTTTATGGTGACTAATGTTGCACAGTTGCATGACATCTAGAAACTATGTGGAATGCTACCAGGTCTACGCTCAGTAGAGTCTAACGAAAGAAAAAAATAAATCATGCTACTCAGAATTCGTGGCATTCACAACTAAAATCATTAAGTTCACAATCAGCTGAAAACTCAAGAAAAAATTTGTTTTTGGCAAAAAGGGGGATGTGAAAGAGTGTGAAAAAGCATGACTGATGGTGTT